AATTTTATATCAAAAAAATTTTTGTTGTTTTTTTTATTTGTTTTGTTTGCAATTGTTTTTCTTTTTCGTTTGCTAAAAATGCAAGTTTTTGAATAATAAAAAAAACAAACTTTACTGCTTGTAATATCACTTTGACGAATAGCACATTCAAACTATTCTTAGTTAAATCAATGAGTTGCAAAAAATGTTCATTTCTTTTCATTGTATGTAATTGTGATTGCGCTCAATCTGATTGTGATTGTGCTCAGTTTTCTTTATTTTTTACTCAAAAATGAAAAAAATAGAGAAAGTTGAGCTATTACCAAAGCGCACTCTAATCATTATCATTCATTCTCTGTGCTGCTGCTATAAAAGTTTAGTTAGCATTCAAATTTGATCAAATTTAGACAATAACAGTCAATTTATTGTTTAAAATAGTTTGACAATGATAATAATAATGATAATAACAATGATAATAATGATTTTTTTAGCTAGAAAAAGTAATTCATTATGAGACTTTATTAAAAAAAGTGTAATAGATACACATTTAGTTCTACTCGTTATTGACTGAATCATTTTTGATCACATTTTATTTGATCAAAATTATCAAAACCGTATAATATTTAATTTTAAAATTTTATGACTATTTATAATCGTAAATATAGATCATGAAAGTAAGTACAAAATTTTTATGATACCAAGACGATAATCTGCTAAAAACTTGTATAATAACTTTTGTAATTTCTACCATTTTTATTATCTACAAAATTAAAATTTGATCAAAAATATGAATTCAAATAAACAAATACATTATTTTTTTGCTATTAAAACTTAAATTCACATTTATTTATACAAATTTCACTTTATACAATAAAATATTTGCACAAAAATTGCTATATTCATTATTGTACAAATTGTATTAGCGGATTAAACTAATTAACAACTACAAAATGCAAATAATTGTGAACAAATTAACGGCAAAAAAATAAAATATTCAAAAAAGTACCTGATAACATTTATAATATCTCATGTTTAAGCTAAACTAACCTTAGTATTATTATAGGAACTAAAATACTATCACATAATAAAAGCTTGAATGATTACTTTGTAACGGATAATTAGCAGAGCTCATTACCTACAATCTCCTACTAGTTATCTTATCGACTGCATTAATGATAACATTATTTTGACTAATCATCCATCCATCATATTTTTATAGCAGTAACTTGCAGAAGTTTGCAATTTTTTAATGCCTTCTTAAGCAGTATTCAGTGGAAATTCTTATGCTTGAATTTTATTTTACATTAACAATTTTTAACAATCTTATAAATTAGAATTTAAGTAAGAACAAGTACTTTAAAAATAGTACTCACCTATAATGAAGCCAAAACATGGCTTATAATATTATCAATTCTCTTATCAAATATTTTATTACTTTTTATTGTTGCAGAGAAAAATAGTCTTACATAACTTTGTAATAAAGTAAGTATGTGAGGCAGTGAAAAAAATGCCAAATTTTCGAAAAATCAAAATTGTTAGAAAATTTCTAAATTTTAACAAATCTAAAACTTAAAGAATCATTTAACATTTTGTCAATCCTTTTATGATTACTTTCAAAATCCATCTGAAGTAAAAAATGGATTAGAAGAATAAAAGTTTTATTTATAAAATTATAATAGTAACGATCTAATTTTGTTACCTAAAATCATAACAAATCAACAGTAAATTTTGTTCACTAAATGTGATAAAAATGAATGTGGCATATAATTTAAATAAATCAAGCCAGTCCAATGCTAAGTAAAAAATTTCATTTGCAGCAAGAAAATTGCAAAATTTGATAAAAAGAATAAAAATAATAAGAGGATTAATGTTTCTAACGGTAAATACCAATAAGTAATAATGTGATTAATACTACCTTAATTTAATTTAATTTAATTTGACTTAATTTATTCAACAAAATCAAGCAAATTCATCAATGTTGACTGAACTAGTATAAAAAAGTAAGTTCATGAGATACTATTGTCTGATAAATGCAAACGAGACAAATATAATGGCGTCAGATTGTTGTAGAATGAAAAGCTTATAGTTACAATCTCATTCTAGCCTATTTTTTCTAGAACGAACTAAATTCCTTTGGGATAAAAGTTTGAAAATATTAAAAAAAAATAGAAAAAGAATAAGTTTGGTATAAAATTTCTATCTGTACTTTTTGATTTATATTCAATACTTAAAATTCAAAAAATTCTCAATCATAATTTTTATTTCAAATTCTTATCTTTTTTCGTTTCATTAATTATTTCTATACTTAAGTCTGCAATTATTTAATAAATTATTGCTTAATTTGTTTTATTTATTTTATTTTCGAATTTTTTAAAGAATAAATAAAATGAAAGTAAAAAACTTGAGTTATGATTTTTTTTATGATTGATAAATTTTGCCATTTTTTGGGTTAGAGTTTTTTCTTGCAATTAATCATTGCAATTTGAAAATGAAATCTTTGTTCAATCATTTTGCTGCAATTGCTTTTGAATACAATTCACTTTCCCATTTTCTTTGCTTATTTATTTATGACTGTAAAAATCTGAAAAAAAAAATCAAATACAAAACAAATACAGCAATCAAAATCAAAAATAATTCTATTTAAGCAAAATGTTGATAAAAAAGAAATATTTAATAATTAAGTTTTTAATTACAAATAAATCTTGAAATAGAATTCTTAATTTTTTCCGTAATAATTAATTGTTTTGTTAGAATAAGATAGATTATACTTGATTTTCAAGCTTAGTAAATAACTTATTACGTATACAAAATACTTGACGACTTCAAGTATCAAATTATGCTTTGCATTTTTTAGTACTCACATGAAAATTATCATGATTATCATCATTTAATTAGCTAATTTCAATTAATCTTAAACCAAAGCATAAAAATCTAAATAAATTACCAAAACGTTCCAATACTTTGCTTACCTAATTTTTAAGAGTGATTTGAGGATACACTATTTTTGAAGGATAAACGAATATTGTATTACAATTCGAACAATTATATTTTTACTAGTATGAGAAAATTTGGCACGAATAACACTATATATTCAAACTATTTTGATCTTAAACGTTCCACTTCCAGCACAGTAATAATCATAACATTATTAATATTGATATCAGTCTTAATATTAATATTATTATCAAAAATAATAACGATTATCATCATCATTGTAATAACATCAACTTCATATTAAAAGTCCAAAAAATACATAAATTTTAAACTTAAAAACATTACAAGCATTTTATTTCTAATTTTCACACACGCCAAAAGTTGAAAGTTATTTGTTTAACAATAAAAAGCGTGCAGAATTAATTGTTTTGAAAACACATTTCATATTTAGTTAAGCTCTTGAAAGTTTTATATTCAACTTTAGCTTGAAAAACTTCAATGACAGCTAAAAAAGTTTATTTTTAAGCACAATTTAATTAAAACACTTTTGCATGAATTGAAAGTATCAGTGTTCAAGTTTATTCTTCGGTGAAAAATATTCATTTGATAAGTTTTTATTAATTTGCAAATAATTTAGTCTTTTGTATTAATACAACTTTCTTAATCCTGGAATTACCGAAAATCGGTAGATGCATAAATAGATAATTTATGAGAGTATTAACTGATTGAAATCTATTTTTTACAGTATTTATTGATAATTATTTCATTACTGTAGCAATGAACGTTTAAAATAGGACTTTTGATATCAATCAGTGTATTTAAAATTTGTCCATTTGCTGCCCCCAAAATTAATTTATTTATGTTGATAATATTTATTAAATATGCCAACAAGTTATCCTAAAATGTTGCAAGTGGCAAAGTGATCAGTTAATATTTTGAGGTTCATGAATTATTTGCTCATTAATTTATGCTTAATCATTACCTGTCATAATTCAAAATTTAAAACAACTATGTTATACAGCTAAATTGCTAAAAAAAAAACTGCAATGTTATCTTTACAAATTTATTATTATATTAATGCTACTGATCTTAATGTGTTTCAATAGATTCATTGATTAATATAGCAATCAAGGCATTATTTTGCATAAAATTATATATTTTAGCTCAAAATAGTAGTAATCTTATTAAGCATAGTACTAAAATACATTAATGATAAATTTGTTGCAATTTTTAGTGATAATAACAGATGAATTATTACTTGCGTATTTTCCTCTATTACCTCGTCTGAAAGCAAAAATTTCAGCATCAAAATTCACCAATGCTTAACGTGAATTATGAACATGCTATTATGTTGTTTGCGGAAGTACTTATTCACCAAAATGGTTTCATTTCAAAACTATAATTACCTATTTTTCCTTCCTTCAAAAATAAAAAACAATTTGATATTTAAGCAGTTTACGTTTCTTAGAATTCTTTTGCTTACATTTTCAATTTACTTCAAAATTTTATCATATAAAGTTTTTCGTTTATTTTTATTCAATAGTTTATAAATCAGAAATGTTATCCTTTCGTTCTATTTATTGTATTGTGTTTTATACAAATTACAAAACAATTTTATACAAATTCTGATAAAGATAAATTTGTCTATTTTTTCAAAAAAACTATGCTATTACTTTAGAACAATTAGTACGAGTGGTAATTTTCAGAATTAAAGACTATTCTGTAGAACTGATTCACAATGGCAAACAAATGCAAATCCTCAGTAAGTTTTGCTTCTATATCTTATTATAAGTTTCAAATTATAAAAAAAAAATTCACCAAAATTACAATTTGAACTTTGTAGAAAAATGAATATGAAAAACAACATAGTTTGGTGTGTCAAGCCAGTGTTGATCGTTTGCAAAATACAGAAGAAAAACAACAAAATATTGAAAAATATCGCAAGGAACTTGTTGATTCAGTGGGATATCCATCGGCATGTCATTAATCTATATTTTACAATTACTTTTAAAGTATTATAACTTGTTTAAATTAACATCAAAGTAATTCATATGAGCAATTTAACTTTTTTCTCAATAAAATATATTATGCATAAAGTAATTGTCTATACTTACAGTACTATCAAATTTTATACACCTTAATATATTGAGTTTTTGTTCTGTATACTTGAAATTATGTTGTCTATTATTTCTAGAAAATAACGGATTTATTAATAATACCAAAAATAATACTTAAAAATGTAATCGACTTCGGCTTTGGCTAAAATAATACAGAAATCAGTTATGCATGAATTTTTTAATTGCAAAATATTATCATATCCGACAATGTTTTTCATATTGTAACTGTGCAATATTTTTATAAAATAATGCTTAAATTCACAAACAAAAACATTTAATTCGGTTTTAATAACTTTTCATAGTTATTTTTTTAAAAGTATCTGTAGTGAAAAACAAAAACAAAGCAATAATTATCTAAATTAATATATTCGTCAACTTAATTCAATTTATTTCATGCAACTAATCTGCGTTATATCAATTTTCTTCTAATAATTTTGCAATTTTTGAATATTACTTTTGTTAATATATATATACATATGTACTGGTCAGTTTAAGATTTTAAACGAACTTAACGATGAAGGTATTGAACTTATTTGGTCATCAAGTTTTGATGCAACTTTGAGACTTGCTGTAATAATGGCAGTTGAAGGTAATTAAGCAATAATTAATCTTTTCATAATCACTTATCTTAAGCTTTCTAAATATTTGTTATTTAATTTATTATTACTAAAGAATGAGTGATTGATAAATTTGAAAAAAATTCATCCTAAAATATTCATCTAAAAATTTATAATTTTTACTTTTCTGTATACCCATGCATTTTTGATAATTTGTTTGTTTTATTTTGATAATTCCTCTCTAATTAACAATTAAACTTGCAGAAGACAGTGCAAACTTTTTATCATCAATGTTGATAGAATTTGAACAAAACGGTATAAATATAAAATACGTTGAAATACGTCCAGAACTTCAACAAACTGGATTCTATGTTAATAAAAATGTTACAAGCAGTTCAAAAGGTTTCAAAAATATTAGCATCAGCAACTACTGTCAGTAATGATAACATAATATAATAATATAATTATAAAGAGTATAATTGTAGTAATCGAATTTAAGTTTAAATTAAGATTACAAAAACAAAAAATTAATAATTTCATTTTTATTTAGTAAAATTTGATATCATCGCTAACTGTGAGTGCAAGAAGGATGCATTTTTACGAGCTGCAAAAAATCTAACAACAAACTATACTGTGAAGCAATTAAGCGTTTATAAAACTAGCGATCAGTGGTTGGAACGAAGTATTTGACCTTTGTAACTAATATCAGTGATCTGTTTAAAAAAAAATGACTATTCATAACTTATTGCTGATTATTTACTCGTTGAAGAAAAATGAATAAGCAAACAATAAGATGTAGGCCACAAATGTAAATTAATTTCAAAATTTATATTTAAAATTTCGTTCCAAAATCAATCTGTATTTGATTATTTAATTGCCTATAAAGTATCGTTCAATATAATATTAAAGATGAAAATTAGAATTACGCACGAAAAATTATGCATGAGAAATTATTGCAGTACATATAAATGATAAAGTCAGTTATTATTTAAATTTTGCTTTCGTACTTATCTAATTTAAAAGTTATTTTTACTTTTATATTATTTGCTAAAAATTTATGGCTAAAAAAATTTGCAAGAAATGAGAACAGAACATGAATACTGATATATTTTAGTTCCATGGTTTCCTCGGCATATTTCTGAACTAGATAAGTGTTATCACTGCAGTGTTAAGTATGAGCCAGCAACTGATCCACGACATCCGGTATTTAAATTGAATTATAAATTTTTTTTCTGCATTTTTGTTGATTATTTTAATTCATTTTTTAATTTTTCTGATTCTAGAAATTTAACTTTTTAAAGTATTATGCTAATTAAAACGATCACTGATTGAACCAGAATAACTTCAGTGATACTAGCAATCAGTGTGATGTAATTTTTCTGCCTGAACTAACTATTTTTCCTCAAAAAAAGAAAGAAAAAAAATTTCCCTAGCACATTTTTATTCTCATTGCATACTTTTAAATAAGACTGATTACATTTATTTTAAAATAATTCAAATTATAGGGATATGGTGATGAAGTATATATTCAGCGAAGAAGACAATTAAATGCTATAGCTGGAACTTACAAGTAGTATGTTTGATAATTGCTGTACTGACATTAATTAATTTTTTTATTAACGTCAGATTTAAAATATTATTGATAATTTTTTAATTAAGTATTTATATTTTTAAGTCAAATATTTATGATATAAAAAAGGCATAAATTTTAAGATACTTTATATGAGAGCATTCTCAAGTGCTAAAATTGACAATTTCAAATATTAAATAGTATTAATTCACAGATGTTTGTTACATTTTCATTAAACCTACCAAACAGAAGAATATAATTAATTCAATTGAATAAAAATGTTATTAATAATTTTTTTCAAAGGAATACAAACATTTTTAGTGGTGAATGCTTACCAGTCATTGAATATAGTGAAGAAGAACATAAAACTTGGGAGACTGTTTTTACTCAACTGAAATCGCTACATTCTACTCATACATGTTTTGAGTACCAACAAAATTTTCATCAAATGGAACAAGAAGGACTTTTTGATTCAAAACGTATACCAAAATTAGCAGATGTTGACCGATATCTTCAACGTATATTTATTTTATTTTTATAGTATAATAAATTTTATTTATTTATTTATATTCATATTTTAGTTCTTATATTTGAAGGAAGAAGAAAATTTTAATTGACAAAATAGTGAGAAAAATTGTTTTTCTTTTTAAATTTGATTACATATTATATTGGTAGAAAATTTAAAATTTTATATTTTTTGTGAAAATAAATAATAATCATTTTGATAAATTAATACAAAACTGTACAAATAAAAGCATCACTTGAGAACTAAATTAGTTATTGGAATGTTTTACAAAAAAACAAAAAAACTCGAACATTATAAATATGATAAAATACTGATTTGATCTATGTATTTGCTTATTTTAACCTGAAATTTTTATGTTTTCTAGATTATATTTTTTTAAAGTTTTCCTATCATTGTTTAATAAATAAGTCAAAAATATTGAAAGATACACGCACTAAATAAAAGCATAAGCTTTGATAAAAATATTTCTACTTTATTCAGGTAAAACTGGATTTATGCTACGGCCATGTTGTGGACTATTAACTGCTCGAGATTTCTTAGCTAGTTTAGCATTTCGCGTATTTCAAGTATGTTTAATGACTACTTTTAATACAAAATATAATTTAAATATAATTTGATATAGTCAATTATATTAACATAATTTTATCCTTTTTTCAATCACGAAATGTTTTATTTTTTATTTAATTAATCGTTTTAAAGAAGATTTATTATCAAATTTTCAGACGACAATTTACATTCGTCACCACCGCTCACCTCATCATTCACCAGAACCTGATTTAATTCATGAATTTTTGGGGCACTGTCCTATGTTTGCAGATCCATTCATTGCGCGATTCTCACAACAAATTGGATTGCTATCATTAGGAGCAAGTGATGAACAAATTGAACAACTTGCTACAGTATGCATCAAATTTTTTGCCATATTTTGCACAAATTAAATATTTGTATATTTTAAAAACATAGTAATATTTTATTGAGTAGCATCAAATTTGATATAGTCAATAAAAATCATTATAATTATAATTTGTGGTGCAATAAAAATCACAATATATGTTAGTAAAAAAAATTGTTTAACTTAATTGATGGAAGACAAATGATACAAATTATAGTGCTATTCAAAATTGCTTAATTTAAATAAAAGGTGATTGATAATGAGTACAGTCTAAGAAGGATAAGTTTTCGCTCTTGCCTCCAAGCATTTTCTAGTCTCATTACTTCTTAACTCGAGAATGAATTGCATAACAACCTAATTTTTTATTCAGATTTACTTCTTTTACTGTGCTCATAAGTTATATCTGCTTAGGTATATTGGTTTATAATTGAATTTGGATTGTGCAAAGAGAATGGCAAATTAAAAGCAATTGGCGCTGGCTTACTTTCTTCTTATGGTGAACTTATGGTATGCTTAAATAATTAATTGCATGATATCGCTAAATTAAGTTTTCGAAATTTATATGTATATAAATAAAATGTGGAGGTTAGTTTTAATATTATTTATTAATAGTATTTTTAACAAATTTTAGCAAATGTAATACAGCAAATAATTCAAAATTTAATTAGTGCATATAATTGTTAGAGTAATCACTGTTTGCTAAATGAAATTTCGTATAAAATTCAGTATTATTGAAAAAATAACAAATAAATATTCAAATTTTTGCATTATGAATCGTTGAAAGCAATCACTTTCCAGTAAGCAATAAAAAAATTAATTTTTCAAAATTAGAAAAATAAATTTAACAGCATGCTTGCTCCGATAAACCGCATCATGAAGAATTTGATCCACAACGGACAGCACTACAAAAATATGAAGATTCTGATTACCAACCGCTTTACTTCGTTGCAAATTCTATCTCTGATGCAATGACTAAATTACGGTACTTTGTGAATTTTTGATTCAAATCAAACTTATAACTTTTTTAATTATTTTTTAATTAAATTCACTTATTAATTTCACTTTCTCATGCAACTTATTGCGTTTAAAAGATATTATAAACAAAATTAGGTCTTTATATTCATGTATTTTTGCTATTTCATATTTATATTAACGAAAGTGTTATTATCACAATTCCGTTATTTCAATAAGCGCTAAACTTACACCAGTGACAGTAATGATAACAATGTAAAAAGTCTTTTTTAGCTTCAAATAAAAAGTTAAATTAGGTGTGCACTAATTAAATTAATGAAAATTCAGGGTTTTTGCACAAGAATTTCCACGTTCGTTTTCGGTAGTATATGAACCATACACCAAATCAATTGAAGTGATCAAAGAAACAAATGATCTCAAAAATGGATTGAATCGTATCAAGCAAGAATTATCATCGTTTACTGAAGCTATCAAAGTACTAAGTTAGATCATGGGTGATCAGTGGACATTTATTATGCACTTCAAAAGTTATGAGTAATTAGTAGAATCATTTTATATCTTTTCATATCATTACAGAATAAATTTATAATTGCTTAGGCTTTATACTTATTTGCTATTTGCATCATTTCCACTTTTTGTAAAATATATATTCTACTTGTATTATCATATCATATCATATCATATCATATCATATCATATCATATCATATCATATTTGTTGCAACTCAATGGCAAATGAATTAAGACTGTAGTAGCTGCTAAACTTTTGTTACTTTGTTAAACTTTTAAGTCCATATCTAATACTTCGTAGCAGTATCGCTAGGAAAAAATGGCATATCTTTATCCAAATTTTAAATAAAAAATAACAAAATAATTTCATAAATGCATTAATTAGCACATAAATGAATAAAACTATGTCACATATTTTGTTGAAAAATTTTATATAAAAAGTAAAGGCACAATAAATGGAATTATAGTAAAAAATTAAAATTACTATATTTATTAAGTACTTTTAGCAATCAATTATAGCTTAAATTTAATTTTATCTTCAGCTGCAATTTGTTAACAAAAATGAACTAAAAATTTGAATATTTTAGAGAATTCTACATGACTGCTTATAAAAACTTGAAAACTTGCTTCATTTAATATTTCTAATAAAATAGATGCAAATTTAATTTATTAAAAATTTGAATAAACTCTGCTAATTAAAATATTTTTTAATTCTTGATCAAGTGTTTTAATTATTTGCCAATTTACGCCTTGTAGATAATAACTGATATCACAGCGCACATTTTGCCAGCAAAATAGAGCACTAAAAGACTAATATTATAACAATATTATTTATACTCTGGCATAATTTGGAAAGTACCAATGCCTAGAGGCGTTAATGCTTCTTGTCTTAAAGAATCTTCAGCACGCTCATCTAGACTTCGTTTTCCAATAGATGTTGATGTTAGAATCCGTTTTGGATTTGCTTTATATCCCATATCAATATAAAGATTACTTGAACATGATTGCGAAGATTTAGCCTGAAATTATGCACATATGTATTCTTGAAATGATCAATTTATTAGTAATTAATAATTAATTATATATTTGCTTGTCTATCTATTTACATCTATCTATTTTTATCACAGACTTTGTTTTTTTAAAACTTTTTAATTAGTCTACAACTAGCATATCAATTAGCGAATGACTTTTTTCCTTTTTCTATCGAAAGAAGCAATTTGCAGCAAATACAATAAATTCATGCTATTGTAAGGGAGTATGCACAGAGCATTTATGCAATTAATTGTATACATAAATTTCAAATAATGAATTCATACGCAAAAAATTCTCAAATTCATTTAAACTTAATTATTATGATTATATACGTGTGAAAGTTCCAGCTAAAATTTTTGAATATTTTTTAGCACTGCACATTTGTACTACAAAAAGGGTAATGCTGATGACAGTTTTGAAGGTATTTTGCTTGCATACTCAATTATTACAACTTTTTTGATTGATGACATTTGAAGGGTAATGTAGTTAATTTAACTGATATTCTTGGTATTTTCCAGAAATAAATGAAAATTTAAACGATTAGATTTACCTTGTATTTGATGTTAATATTAGTTCGTAGAAGCCGACCATTTAGTGGCTTTAATGGACGGTAGTTTGGTGACATAAAAATAGGACTAAGTTGCTTATTTTCGGTTTGTTGCAAATCATTCCAAATTTGTAGCTATAAGTATTTAATATTGATTAAAATATTACCTTAATAAGTCATTTTTGATCAGAATTAAATTTGCAAAGAGAAAAATATAAATAGTTTATTCATAGATCGAAAATAATATTTGTTATTCACAATTTTTTTCTATATTTATTTATACATTTGAGAGATTATTATCATTATTTATTTATTTGATTTCTAAATGTATGCTTTTTTTACTTCCGCATTTTTATTTTATTTCATTCACATATTCATATTCTGTATTTCCTTTATATATATCAAATCGTAAAACTAATTGAAAATAAGCCTTCAGCATTGCTTAATATTTATTTAAACAAAATGTCAGAAATAAAAAAGATTTTACATCTTCTTTAGTGATATATATAGGATTATTCATGATAACCCACGTAACGGTTTCAAAACAACCCGGAAATGTCAGTGACCCCTCGTAAGTAATGTAATTTTCAGTTTGTGGTAAAAGTCCATACGCACTAAATCGCTTTAGGGTTGTTTTCATGCCTTAAAATAATAATTTATCTTAAATTTTAATGAATCCTGGTGAACAAGGAAATATTTATGAACTTAGCATACTAATTAATTAATAGGAATACGTTGCTTGTATAAATCCTCTTTACTACAGATTTTAAAAATGTACATGTTTTCAATGTAAATTCACAAATTATTCGTAACACTTTTTATAAATTTAATGATGAAAAATTTATTAATCATTTTAACGTTTTAATTTAATTTTGTAAAAATATGAATAAATGACATTTTGTATGAAAAGGAAACCTTTGTAAGTGATACTTTGTGATGCAACTGTTAATTTACGTAATTCTGTATTTGATACACTACCAAGCTAAAATAAATAAAGAACAAAAGCCTTGTAAAACTATTTAGTATATAAAGTAAAATTAAACAAAACTTTCTTTCATATAATTAGCATCAAAGTCTTTTATATAATTGACAATAAATAGCATTACATAATTTAAATTTATAATTTAAATATAATTCAATATATAATTTAAATATAATTCAAGTTCTCATTTTAATAATGGCATTACGACAAAACATTATTCACATTAATTTCATACACAAAATAATTCAAAAGCAAATTAGATATTTTGTGAATTTCTTTTCAACCTTATATGCATTTGATGCAGTTAATGCTTGAAATAATTAAATTTATAAAATGTCCAATTTTTAAATAAGCTTACTTCTACTATTATTGAAATTGCTAAGAGACCATGTGGTTGAGACATTGCTTCAGTAAAATTAGCATACAAATCAGTATTGTATGCAAAAAGTTGTACCTTCAAATTACTTGCTTTTTTCAAACAAAAATTTTTTAAATTATGCAAATAATTTAATCTACTTTCTAAACTTTATGACAAAATATGCATAAAAATGATTAGTTTTGCATTTTTTGCAAAATTTTTTTCTCATTGTTTAATTGTTAATTTGAATATTATAGCAAAAAATAGAGCAAAGCTTGAAGATGAAAAGTTATTTATTGAAAAATAGACAAAAATAAGAATTATAAATGCTACTTCCGCAGGAAATCGAACTCTGTCGATTGTATGTTCTGATCCATACTCATCATTTGCAACATGTCCAAAATGTACAACAATATGGTGCAGTCGATACCTAAGCTTATAATAAAACAATTTACTAATTTTTTACTTGTAAAAATTAGCTTAAAGAATAAAATATTTCACAAAACAATGCATTTTATTTAAAATATTCAGTAATAATAGCATTTAAGTTTACTCATTAGCATATTTTAATTGCATTATTTTGACTAGATGATTTGAAAGTAAACACAACAACTTTATGCATTAAATTTGTACAATATTGCATTTAATTGATGGATGGCATTTAAATTTACTTCACCTGTATGGAAATGATGGACCACCACTGATATTAATATTATTTTGATCAGTCAAAGAATTATTTATTGTTACCAAGGGTAACTGACCCATATTTTGTAGCGTTACTTCTACCTTAATTTAGCTCCATCTTTTAGGTATATAAATTATAATTAATATTCCTTAGTAATAAAAGTCACAAATAAGTTCTGTAAAAGATTTCATATATAACCTTTGATGTTATTAATATACAGAGTATACGAATAGTTGACAGACTTTAACAAATTTGAAATGTAATAAAATAACTTATGTATTATAAAAATTACACTTTACATGATAATGAAGCAGTCAAAAATAATTTCAAGACGTAATCAGAAGTTCAAATTCTATGCATTTTAAATGAATCACTCTAACTCCAAAAACAGCGATTTACTTCTAGGTCTAAAAGATTGGTTTACTACTTGACATTTGTGAATGATCCTTTTACTGTTTAAATAATTTGTATATAGAAAGTTTAGAAGTTTTAATTAAACCTGATTCTCATTAATATTGAGAGGTAACAAGCCAGGGTCATATAATAATACTGAAGGGTCAACATTGATAGGTGATTGCATTTGTCCTGTAGTACACATTCTCCAGTGCTTGTTGACAAGGCCCCAGAAGTCGGGACCTACAATACAAGGGTAGAAGCATGCAGTCACCAGCCATGGAATCATACTCTTTTGTTTTTTTCAATGCTGAAATTCTGAATCCGATACAAATTCTATTGCTTCAGAAAAACAACAATTTCAAACGTCTTCTACAAGCTTTTCTACTTACTCAAAGTCTTCTTACCACGCAAATATTATTGGTTTTACTAGCTTTCAATTCATTCTTAAAATGGAAAAAAGTTTTTGATATTCGTTTTCAATCACTGAATCCTTAGAATGCCAAGAAATTTATCAGTTAATATTTGAGCTTAACAGAAGCAAAATTATATAATTTGCATGACGACAAAGCTAACTTATCTTTTAGCTTTTCAATTAAAAAACTAAAAATTTTCAATAATACATTTGTTCTCAAATCGTGCTATGAGCTATTTGCAATTTCAAAAAATTCTTGTTTTTTCTTGTCAGAACAAAAGAAATTAATTATTCGCTCACAACGCAATGAAAAGTATAAAATTATACTTTTTTAATTCAAAAAAAAAATTAATTTTGAAAATGTTAGTGTCAAATAATTTTTTCAATAGCAATATAAGTTCTCATTTTGAATTTCAGTACTTTTTAGCGCCTTCAATAAATAGACAATATAATTGTCTATTTATTGAGTACACTTCAAATTTTGAATATTTATTTAAAACCAAAATAAAATTTATTTGGCTTAAATTTCATTTAATTCTTATTTTACTTTTACTGATTTTATCATAAAGTATAATAGAATCAGTAAAAGTATAAGGTTAAAACTTTTGAAAGCTGAATATAAGGTAAAAAATGCCCAATAATAATTTTTGAAAATCTTTTAAAATTTGTAATTATTAATTTTTTGTTGTAAAACATCAAAAATAAAGAATATTTGAATTTTCAATGAAAAACTTTAGGGTAGAAAAGCATAATTATTGCTTTCTTTAGTGATTGCAAGCTTATTTTTATCCGCTTAATATCTTTATAAACCAGTAGGAGTTTTAAAGTGATTAAAAATTGACTATTCAGCAGTAGAAGAAATTATTTAAAAACTTCTTTATCTTTTTTTGTGATATATATTTGAGATTTATATTCAGATACTGTGTATAGTTTTGTACTAAAATATAAAAATGAAAGTACTAAAAATATTTATTTACTTAAATTAATGATTATTGTTGAGATTATAGCTTTTGCAGTTTATGACAGCAAGTAAAAATGATGAATGCAAACAGGGACAACTGATTCTGATAGTAATAACTAAAAATAAGAAAGTAAAATAAATTTTTAAAAAGTTAAAAATGACTTTATTTGAATTATTTTGCCAAACTTACCATCTGATTTGAATAAAATTCATTTTAATATATTATTTTTGGTAAATCTTTTGACTTTTTTAAATAATTCAATGCATTATTAAATTGTTGCCTTTGAGAATTAATGCATAACTTGTTAAATTCGTGTTAATTTTCAGGCAATAAAAAGTCCAATAAATAACTTATTATAGCATTTAATCATTAATTACTTGAAGTGTCTTCATTTTAATAACATAAAATGACTACTTCATATCCAATACTATTGATGAGTTTTTACAATACTGTTATGAATAATGGTACAAACATTTTGGTAAATTTGGTAACAAATGACAACAAATGGTTGCACTACCAAATTTGTATATTTAAACACCTATTCGGTACAAATATTTATTAGTAAAATACAATTTGAAAATAGAATCCTTTTTGGAAGTTTAAAAAAATTTAACATTGGATTAAAAATCATTGTAAATATTTTAATTTCTCACTTGTTACTTCTGTGTTTACAATTAATAATTGCATAAAATTTTAAAAAACTTTTTGCAGTATAAAACTATAAAAAGTTGTAATTTTACTATAAAGTATAAAATCAGTTTATCGTTATAATAATTTTCTAATTTATATTTATTAATTTTATCATTGGTAAAATTTTTTATATGAAAAAGAATTTATCTTTAACGTAATGTTAATATAAGCAAGTAAACAAAGAAAACACGTCAAACTGCACAGCAAAAAAAAAAAATATACATAAGTTAAGCTAAGCTGAAGCTGCTTAATAATCAAAAAACAAATTAATTTGAGCGTTAAAAGCAAGCAAAATTATTACCAAATAGTATTATTAAAGATGGATAGAAATAATTTTCATAAAATTACTTCCTAAAAGCAATCAAATAATTTTTAAGGTACTTAAACTTTATGGCTTAGCAAATGACTTCTTTTATCACTTCATCAAGCTTTAATAGAAAAAACATTACTTACACAGAATCAATTATCAATTTGCATGAATGAAAAGCAAACACAATTTTTTATTACTACAAAAATTACTCAAAATTTATGCAAGTAAATACAATGCTTTTCTTTTCTTTAAACAAACAGCTTGCTTATTATCAATGCTTATTTTTCAAATGTTTGTTATGAAAAGAAATTGTTTTTATTCAATTTCGATGTTTGTTTTTTTTTTCTACAAATTTATTTATAATTTAAATAAGCAAATTTTTCAAGTGAAAAAATTTTCAAATAATTAAAAATTAACAAATTTTTGAAAAGTGAATAGCGAAAAAATTAATTATATTTATAATCATATAATAAGCTTTGTTGTAGAAAATTTGAGAAAAAAAAATTATCCTGAAAGTAAAATGTGTCGTTTATTAGGAATATTTAAAATTTTTTAAAAATTTAAATATTACATTTAATAAGCGTAAAAATTATCATACAAAATTTAAAAAGCTGTAATTCCATGTTTGAAAAGTATTGAAATGACATAAGAAAAAGTATGAGTATAAATAAATTTGCACATATTCAGATTTCTTGCCAATAATGCAATGAAGTAAGCAGTAATTTGTCCTCGAAATACATTCACAAAGTTATTATTATATGGTTTTTTCTAATAAATGCTATTATTAATCATTATTTTGATAAGTTATAAGCAACACTCTTCTTCATGATTTAATTACTTATATATTTACAAAAAGGATTGAAGTAAACGTAAGAAATTTAAAAACCAGCAATAAGTATTTTATGATAATAATACAGGAGTGCAAAAAAGTCAAGTAATAATAGCGAAAGCTGAAAAATTGCTTTTCATTGCTGAAAAAATAATTCTCATTAACTATTAATAGAATTTATGCACAATTCAAAACATCAAGTAAAAATATACGCTAATCAAATTATTATACATCAATGCTTTAAAAAAATTTGATCATATTCTTAACATGTGAAGCATTTCAAAAAATTTGTTAAAAATTGATGAGTAAAATCAGAAAAAAAATAAGAAAAGAAAATTGGCATTAATAAATCTTATTCTTTTTGCGTGAAAATTTCCTGCTAAAATTCCACTATTTCAAATAAGCTCTTACTTCAGTATTTATAAATATTTGTGCAGTTTTCTTTTATGAGTTAATCTATCTGTTCATTATTCTATTAAAAAACTTACTTTTCTGGCTATGCATATAAAAATAAATGTACTTTAAAGTTAATATTGACAAAAGTTTAAGTATATGCTATCATTTGATTGCTATGCATAAAACTGTATTGTAAAAAATAATTCTGAAATTACTGAACCTTATATCAAAATTTCTTTTTTGTATTATAAACTGCTGCTGCAAAAAGAAGGTATGTACAAATTTTTGTTTCATAGCAAAACTATAAATGATATTAACAGCTGGAACTTAAATTTACTGTGAATTTAAGTAAAATCGTATATATTCAAAAGCAGTTTGTATTCTCTATAAAATGTTCAAATGCTATTATTAAATGACAAGAATGGATTAAAAATGATTTGTAATATTAATATTTTACAAAATAATATAATGGTCTGCATTTATGATAATACGCAAAATAATATAATAGTCAGCATTTATGATAATATGGATTTATCATAAATGCTGACCATTCTATTATTTTGTAAAATATTTATATAAAATTGACTGTATAAAATATGGCAATTTACTGTACTTTTACTAAGCATTAATGCAAGAATAGTGCATGTATGTAGTACATTATATCAAATTCTACATCAGTACAAATAGGTTATAAACTTTTCAAACAGATAAACTTTGAAAAATATTTTTGGCTGATATAGTAGACGAAATAAACCTTGAATAAATATTGAATAATTGATATAAGATATGACAAATTTTTGAAGTATTCATCAAAATAAACAAACTAATATGTCTTATGAGTGTATAAAGTTAAGAGAAACGAAAAAAAAGTAGCAGCATTTTTTAATAAGTAGAAATATTAGCAAAAAGAGCAATGAAATAATTCAGAAAATGAATATATTCAGAAAAGAGGAAAATAGAATTGTGTCTAAATAGGCATTGGGTTAGTTAGATAGATTAAGGGTGTGGTGTTATAAAAGCCAAGAAGGTAGTCAGAACTCAAATGAAGTAAGTAAGTAAGTAAGTAAGTAAAGGCAAAGGAAGGGTTGATTCAATGAATTGCTTTAAGGCGAATTCAATTTATTTCACATCTTTCATAAATAGACGAAAGATAAGCAAAAATTTAATCAACGTAATATGCTCAGTTCTTTAAATAAATTTCATTTTAATAAATACATTCTTATGAATATATAAAAGCACATGAAACTATTCATGCTTAATTTGCATAATTTTATCAAAAATTGCTTTTATTATTTAATTTTTGACCACTACATAATTCACTTTTTATCATTAATATTGGGTTAGCAAACATATTTGCGAACAATTTTGTACAGTATCATCTAAATATAATTTTTGCAAAAAAGTATAATTGCTAAAAGTATTTTATTAAAGTTTAATTTATATCAAAATCTGTAAGTTATTGTGTGTTATATCAGTTGAATTTGTGAAAGGATTAAAAAAATGTAAAAACTAAAATGAAACATTTAAAAAATAATAATGCTTGTATGTAGTTACATGCGCACATAAGTATTTATCTTCCACTTTCTTCATCCATTCTGCTATAAATTTCAATAAAAGCAAACAATAACCTTTATCTTTTTATCATATTTTATTTTATTTTATATAAATCCCGCCTAGTTATGGTTTT